TTTCATTAAATTACCTTTCATTAACGTAATTGCACAACAAAGCGGTGCAGTTTCTCTGTGTAAACACAGTGTGGGTGAGCTGTAATGAGAAACTAAAATGATTTATGGTCCTAACCATTTCCACCTCCTCCTCACTGACGGTGATACATGATACATATTTAGAGCATTTTCATATTCGCAGTGGTTCCAGGGACCGGCATCAGCCTCCAGAATCCCAGAGGACCAGAAATCTGAAGTTTTCTCAAGAGCTATTGTCTAATGCTGCTCTCTGTTATGTGGCTTCTCGCTGCCTAAAGATCCATCACGATAAGAGGCTGTGTGGAGTTGTAATGGTTGACTTGATGAGTTCTAATTGGTACCACGAGACCACGATTAATGGTCTTTGCAGACAGCATATGACTACAGAAGATGGTTTGATTAGCAAGCTATGATTTGTGAGCTATGTCCAGCTAGGATATTAAAATTTTTGAGGCTGTGAGTTATCAATGTTGCCTTAGAAATGCAACATATCTACAGTATATATATATATATTAGGAACCATCGGAATGTTTTGCCATTGCTAGTAATTCTCAGGGAGCTCAGGCTTTACAGTGGCCAGCCTCATGCAAATACACTGTGGGCCATTAAGATCTGCAGTTCCTGGGATTTTAGCCTCTTAAGATGTAGCGTTAACATCCCTTGCTGACCAAAGGAACCACATCTGCTTCTTGCAGATGCAGTTGCTCTTTATTTCCTGTTTTTTCTTTTTGCTGTCTACACTAAGTGCACCCCTGCCCCACACTCCCGCACTGAACGACTAACTTGAGACAGAGATGCTTCAGGATTTAGGAGACAATAAACAGGTAAGGAGAGAGCGCTAAAAAACCCAGCTAAAAAGCTGGTGAGTAACCGGCTTAAACCAGTTTAAACCAACTTAAACCAATACATTATCAACCTGGCTCACTCTCTTTTTCCCATTTTTAGCCCCATCTGTTAATCGTACCACGTTAAAACCAGTGAAAATGTAGTGGTAACGATCTACTCTACAAATTAGGATGCATGCTGCGTCAGCTGTCGTTTTCTTCCATAATAATGAACTAAGAGCTGTTATCGGCTTTTATAACCTTGCTTGTTCACTCTACTTAATACTTGAATTGCTCTCAAAGCAGAGATGGACTCCAGGAATGTCTGGAGGGCTTATATTTATCCTCTCCCACCGGAAAATATCTTGTCAGAACAAGTCAGAGGTAGATGTGGGTCTTAAGGGTCAAGGAGATGATGAGAGGAGGCCTCTGCTTGAGGAATCTCGAGGAAACAGGAGCTAGGTGAAGGAGTCAGATGACGGCTCGAGTGGAGAGCATGAAGACACTGTGGCTGAGCCGACGTGGCTCTTCAGACCGCAGTATTAACATCCAGATGTCTGCTTTCCAGCCCCTGCTTCAGCATCTTTCTGTTTTTCCTTTCATAACCAAACTCATTTT